GCGCCTGGCTCGAAGGACAATCAATAACGATGCGATTGTTACGCGGTGACACGATAGCTGACAAGTTTTCGAAATTGATAATCGCCAATTTCTCACCGCGCCGTATGTAAATGAACTTCAAAAGAGGAAAAGAGAGAGAGAGAGACTCATCTTCTTCGTGATCTTTGCATAATCGACGTGTAATCATCGGAGTCTGCGTTTACGGTCGCGAATCGTGACGAGCACTGACTTTCTCACGTACAAAAAGCGTAAAGACGAAAAGATGGGAGCCGTTTCGACATTAGAACGTCGGAGACCTGCGCGGCAAACCAAACCTTTTTTGCATCGGAGAGCGACAGGTAAGCCGCGTCGCACCGTCGTCGGAGCGACGCCGCCCGCCTCGGGCGAGTGCAATCGTAATGCATTCAATTGTTACGATATCCTCTGTTATCTTCCTGAGATATTTTCCCGCGGTAACGAGAGAAGCCCCGACGCTACCACACAGTGCTGCCGACAATCGACCTGCGGCGATACAAAAATTCCCCCCGTACAGAATACGTCCAAGATATTTCTGGCATCGATGACGGCGATATTGGCCAATATCCCAAAATCTGGGGATATTCAAGGATTAGACATTGCGGAGCGCTCTCTCTCTCTCTCTCTCTCTGTTTTTTAAACGAGAAGAAAAGAGAGAACAAGGGAGGAAGAGGAGCGAGGAAGAAAAAAAACTTATCAACGGGAAAGAGATGAGACCGCGCGGTGGCCGGAGGCGTCCTCCTCCGAGCGCCTCGCCGTCGCATCTTCTGAAATGGCAAGGTCACCGGTAGTTACGTCACCAACTTTCCTCCGGCGCGGCGTGCGCGTACGACTTCGAGAAAACCAAATGTCACAATGACCAAGGACGTTTCGGCCGCGCGTAATGTAACGTCGCCTACGGTAAAGTACCGCGCGGCGCAGGATTCCGCGCCACGGGGAGTTTTCGCTTTCACATTTTCGGGCCGAAGAGGATCGCGGCTCCAGGTAGACGCTGCGTCCCGCGCACGGCCGTGGCCTTGTTCGCGTTGCGCTCCTCGTCTGCGAGGAGGAGAGACGAGATAATAAACGCGGGAGGCGAATCTCTTCGATCGCCGAAAGAGTTTCGGGGGCATCGCCGATCCCGGAGCCCGCGAGATGAGACGAGAGATTAAGAGAACGAAAACCCATCGCGCGCGAGCGTATAATTATTGAATTTATATAAGACGCCCGCTCTCTCGCCGTTACGTCCTCACGTGTGCGGACGAGGGAAGCTACTTTACGTTTGAAATTACGTTTGAAATTACTATGCAGTTGACGATAAAACGCGCGACCGGCGGTCAATTCATAAAATCGCTGCCGAGACGCGCTTCTCGCGCCGCGGCGATTCGAGCCGTCGCATTGTAATATGAGAACGGGAACAATCGCCTTTGTGCGGCCCGCGTCGCCCTTGGCAATGATTCCGTGGAAAACGTTTCGAGGCGTCATTTCGCGACGCGCCTGAATGAACAGCGAACGGAGTAGAGTAGATGCGCGCGAGCGTGCGTCTCGGAATGAGAGGAACGCGTTGCGCAACGCGCATAAGAGCGCACCAGCGCGACGCCGCGGCGCATCGATGCGTCTAAAGCCCGTATCAGACTACGGATTGAGATTGAGATTAGTTTGAAGTTTGACCAATTAGAGTACAAGTTACTAAACATGAGATTAGTAAACCTTACCGCGATTGGTCAGATTTCAATTTAATCCCAATCTCAATCCGCATCAGTCAATTCTGTATCTTACACTATAGTGAAAATGCTAAAAGTGAGTAGCTTTGTCTCTTTCCAACTGTCCCCTTAGAAAGAGACAGAGTCGCTCACTTTTAGCATTTTCACTATATTGTAAAATACAGAATCGACCCTCTGATACGGGCTCAAAGCTAGCGTCACACTATGCGCAATTCGTGACTCGTACATTCGTGAACAATATGGAGGAAAAATTGATCGATTCGCCATTCACAGTGATTCACTAGCCGAGCGGGTTTTTCTTTTTACTAATATAGAAACTTATCTAATTGTAGACTTCTGATACAAGTCCAAAACGACAAATAACAATTTACGATAAACTGCGAATCACGAATAGTGCGGCAAGTGATAATGTCCACCGAATTTCTGCGAATCGCGAAACGCGCATTGCGAATTGCGCATAGTGTGGCGCTGGCTTAATTCGAAATATAAGTGCGCGCCGTTGCCCGCGCGCGCGTATTAGCGGCGCGCACGTAAAAACGCGCGAACGTCGCGTGATAACTCATTGCGTCGGTAAATATCATTAATGCCGTGAGACGAGGCAGAGGAACGTCGTTACGTTCCGTCACGCCTTCGCCGTCCTCGTATAGCAAGCGCGCTTAGTAAATGGCATTTTTTTTTTCTTTATATTTGCGCGTGGAAAATTAATGGCTTACATAATGGGCTCATTATTTTAAATCGCATTTGTTTGGTTTATTTATAATCTTACGATCGGCACGCGGTGTATCGGGATTCTCGGTAGCGATTACGAGCGCCGTTAACGGCGAGAGGGAGCCGCCGTTATTCCGCCACTCGTCACTGTCAACTCTACTGCAAATTACAGCTGCCAATTATAATGAAATTTGCATTTATGCGTTTACGTCTCGGGGACCGATTAACGCGAGCCGCGGTGGAACAGGCGCGATGCAATGATATCGCGAATTTGCGAGAGGCAGAAAGCTACATCGTATTTTTCACGAAACCGCCCAGCGGTTAAATAGCTAAATGTAATTAAATAAAGCTGACTACGTAATAATTGGTTAATTGCCTGTACCTGCATAAATGTAAAATTAGCGAATTGTAATTTAATTACGAATTATATGAAAAATTTCTGATTGCATTTCTATTCAAATAATGTGGAAATCTACGGAATATACATACAGAGGAAAGTTTCCCTGTTATAAGATAGGCTTCTAATATGAGATAGCAGGTTTTCAACGTCCAAATTCAATCACAATCTTTTTTTCGCAGTGAATTTTCCACCAGACAGATCTCAAAGGCAATAAATTCATGGTGGAACCAACAGACGATGCCTGTTAATTTAGCAGAAACCCCGCAGTAGATTCATAAAATCGCTGCCATATTAGGAAACTGTCTCATAATAGGGGACTACCCTCTACACAATGCCGTTGTGAAGAGAATTATTCTATTATATATTAACTTCTAATACGGAGCTAGGATAAAAAGTTAACAGAGCTGTACGAAAAAACCTGCACGTGCGATGAAGCGATTATGCATTTTAGAAAAGATGTTATTTCCGGATCCCCCCCCCCCCTTTCGAAAGCTATGAAATTTTCCAAATTTCGGCGCGTCTTTGATCTTTCACAAAGCCGGGGCTCCTGCAGCGAAACTTAGCTCATCGTGCGTTCGCACGACGATGGAAAGCAAGGTGGCCCACGTCTAACGGGCGACCGCGTCGTCGGATCGCGGATGCATCCTGCCTCCTGCCGCGGGAGAGACTCATCCGCGAATCCGTCGGGGGCTGTTGCTGTTGCACGTGCTGCAGGTGGGGGGATGTGCAACGCGGCACCGCGATTTTCCGTCTATATAAAGGCAGATGCACCGAGAAATCCCCGGTATCTACGTAACGGTCGTCGTTTAAGGACGAAGGGCCGCCTCCGGGATCGTTCGCATATCGTTCGACCACGAGACAGATCCTGGCGCGATGAAGACGGTGGGTGGCTGTTTTTATCTGGAACGGAGAGATACGCGTACTCGAGATACTCTTCAGGATACTCGTCGGCACGATCGCTCTTCTTTAGGCCCCTCCGGGGGGACCGAATCGTGGGGGGTTACCGCTGTTTCTTTTCTTTTTTCGGGGGGGGACCGGGTCCCCCGAAACCGACGTGGTCAGCCAATTTTTGCGCAACAGTGAAAGTGAAGAGGATCTGTGACATTTGTGCGCGCGTGAGATTACGCACACTCGTTCGCGACGTGATAGCCGTGGGAGAGCAGGAACGTTCGCGGACCGGCTGCGATTTCGATGATCGATTTGGAGTACTCTCTAAAAGTCAATCGGCGGATTATCACTGAAAACAGTGAATGGTCACTGATTTGCAGTTACAAGTATACCACTGAAAATCGCAGTGTTACACTTATAATTCTAACTGTAAATCGGTGACTATTCGCTGCTGTCAATGATAACTCATTGAGTGATTTTTAGAGAGTGCAACGCTTATCCCTCGTTACTTCTCTATTTCCAGAGGGAAGTCCGACGATCTTCCAATGTTCGAGTATCAATTGAACGGATCTCGAATCGATGTCCTAGAAATTCGAGTCGAGTTTAAGTGGTCCGTAGAATTTGTGTTTGCTCGGTCCAGTTCGCGAGAAACTTTCGTTTTGCGATATTACGTAACTCTCGAAGAAAAAAGAACCGCAGGATGACACGATAATCCGATTAACGAGTCGCCGTTTCTGGACTGATTGAAATTAAAGTCTGCGACATCCTACTTGCCGCGTAAACGACATATCTCGATCTTTCGTAACGCGCTAATCCAAGAGTGGCCGTCGAAGGATCAGGTTCCGGGAAACGATTGAATTTTAATCCTCGCGGTGACCCATCGTCAATAGCACATTTGGAGAAAATGTTTAGACTATTGCGAAACAAATTCAAATGTGTACGGTCGTAGTGAAAAGATGCGCATTTGAATTCAATTAGATTAAACAAACGAGAGAGCGCCTTTAGGTTCGAGCAAGATGTTGATAGCCCAATAGTTGTAATTTAAAACGTGAACTCATATACCTATCAATTAGATTAATTGAATGAACAGAGATTGACGCGACCCCTTACGGAAGAGTAACGGAATAATTACTAGAAAATTACTGTACATCAGTAATTGAATCATTAGAAATTTAATTTTCTTTCATTAGAAATCATAATTTCGCTACTTTTCCCGTAAGGGACGATACGTTCTTGGCCTCTTTTTTTCCCTTAACGAAAATGATTTTCCTCTCTTCGTCACGCAGGTGTTCGTTATCCTGGCGCTCACGGCCGGCGTTCTCGCGGCGCCGCAAGGCAATCCGAACGACATCACCATCGTGAAGCAGGAGGAGTCGAACAACATAGGGGTAGGTGGATACCACTTCAGTTATGAGCAGAGCGACGGCCAGAAGAGGGAGGAGACGGCGGAGCTGAAGAACGAGGGCACCGATAACGAGTCCATGACTGTCGTTGGCAGCTTCAGCTTCATCGCGCCGGACGGACACACGTATAGGTACGCGAGATTGCCGCAGGGAACATTTTAAACGACCCGTAATTCGATGGAATTCTACTTCTCGTCTTATATTCTGTGCGTTTTTTAATACGTATGTCGCGTATTCTATCATACACACGTGCGTATTCTGACTCTTTCAAATCAGAGATGACTTCTCAGATAAAACGTCTACTCTCTGGTCCACTCAGGTCATTCTAGAATATTTTCCATAAATATTTCATTCAATCGTTAAAAACTCGAATTAAATCTGCTATTCACGTCAAATTCATATTGAAATTAAAATTCGACATTTTTATATACATTTCTTGTAACATTTGTGTCGCGTATTTTGTTACAAATGCGCATTTATTTTGTATTCGATTTTTCAAGCGCCCCTCGTATTGCACGGTACGTTCCAGTAACATCAACAGTTGCGTAACATCAATATTATACTTTCCTACTCAATGTAACTATTATGTACAACATATGTCATGCTTATATTGTTGTGGGAAATTATAGTATTGACGTTACGTAACTGCTAGTTGTGTGTGTGTGTGTATGGGGGGTTTACTGGGGTACGGTCGTAAATTGAATTCCATCCTGAACTCTGACACGAATTACGGGTCGCCTGCGGTGATCTTTAGGGTCACAAACATGATCACAGGTTCGAAAGATCGTCTTGCGTGGAAACTGGTTGTGCTCGCATCGTACATAATATTCGGACTGTGGTTAATCTTAACAACCCTTCTCTACAATTGCAGGGTCGACTACACCGCGGATGAGAACGGATTCCATCCGACTATCAATCTCGCAAAGTAAACGGGTTCCGAGGAAGTTACATCATCTTAGGTCGTTGACGTACACACGCTCGTGTAATTACGCGCGAATTAGGATACTTCTAATTGTATGACACTGCGAGGCACGCGATTCACCGATGCGAACGGGCTGGGACGTCGCGATCGCTGGCTCGATCGAGATTCCCCCGCGATTCCATTCCTCCCTGGCCGATCCTCGTCTCTCCGCGAGTTTCGCGATCCTGCGAAGAGACATGGGAGACATACACTTTTACATTTCTTAAAATCAACAACGCGGCGGTCGCACGATTTGACTAAATTCATCAATATTTCGCATAGTCCTCGCTCGCTTAAGACCAAGAGTGATTCTTCGGATGGAGCAGCGCGTATTCCGCGAATAATATATATAAAATATCACGGGGATAACTAACGAAATTATTTTGCTCAACGTCACTTTTTCTCTCCGGTGCATCTCTCGCGTGAAGAGTGTTCGCGAATATCGCGCGACATCGCGATTAACGGGCCGCGTATTCGTGTCTCCTGCGAGTGAAACGCGTTAGCTTACTCGCAAAATCGGCGATACGTATATCATTCGGTTTCCCGAAACTGCCAGCGGACACTTTGAACGGGGACGTCTTTCGTTTACAACTCTATATCTGCCACCAGCGAGGCGACGATGCAGCACTCATTTGAGCGCCGCGGTACCTGCGTTTCTTACCGGCGCAACTTCTTTTTTTTTTACACGTATCTATATGTATCTATAACAGAAGACAATTCGTGCAAATAAACTTGTATACTTACTGAAATCTTCCTGTGACTGTTTATCCAGGTACACCGTGATTTCTATACAATCAATGAAGCTCGCTTTAAAGGATCTGCAGTTCACGTCCGAAATTTATATGTCTCATGCCATGTACTTTTACGTATTCTAATATACATGTGTGTGCACATCTTAAGTTCCCACTTGTTTTTCATATTACGCAATATACGAAATTTCTAATAGTAGTCTCATTCTCATATAAATTACAGACCGTGTAAAAGGAGTGTACATTGGACGTCTCTTACCGTAATTATACGAAATACGTAATGTTTTTATAAACTGTATAATAAGCTTAATCTACCTTAGATGATCTACGAGCTATGTCGGAATTCAGGATAAAATTCCCTTTATACGTATCCCGCGTTTTTACGATGTATTTTATATATTAAAAATGTTTGACGAAACACATATTCAAAAATATATATACACACATGTACATCGGAATACGTGGCATACGGAATAGAAGATTATAAACAGATTTCTATCCTGAAATTTGATGCAAAAAAGAATCTAGATCATTTACAATGGGTCTGGGATGAGAACAAGAAGCGGTTTTCACGATACAAACAGACATTTAATTCATTATAAAAAAGTAGATTAATCATTTATACTTACGTTTAAAAAAACATCAGTTAGCGCATCGACTTTAATGTAATAATAATGAAACATTATTGTATATAATTATTAATAATGTTAATATGGTTAATGTTAATATATAAGCTCGTGATTTTACATATAAAATCTCTTAATTACATTAGTAAATACTAATTTCCTACGCTTAGCCTATGTACAATTTCTCCAATGTGTACTATAGCGAAATAATATCTAGCTTTGAAATTCATGGCAGCTATTTCGAAGTGATCAAGTGCTTGAAAAATCCATTGTAATTAAACATGATGTGAATAGTAGAGTATTCGGTATTGCGCAACTGTGCGATTGAACAATATCGTAGTACGTTCACAACAAAATCAAAAATCCCTACAAGTGTCATTAATCCTTTTCTTCTAAATAGACTGCACAGTTTTAGAAGATCTGAGGAATGTGTACGGAATAGTTAATACATATACCTATATATATATTAAATATTTCCGTAAAGGTATTGAGCGGGTGGACTTCATGAAAACTTGCAATTTTGATTTTCAAAATGACTATTGAAGTTTAATTAAATGTTTTATAGATTGTCAACGATTAAAATCCAAATTAATTCACTCGAATGTTCATAATAAAACAATTAATTAATTATTTGCAACACAAATAATATTAAAGGTATTGCTGACGAAAGATTTGGACGCGGCCAAACGTAGTGCATTCGCTACTTTCTTATATATGAAATACTTGCATTGTTTATGTGTATATACATAAATATCAGTACATTACGTTTTTCTTACAGTGCATCATTTATATATCGATTAGATGCAAGCAGCATTAGTAGCGTATATTTTAATAAAGCGAAATCGATTGTTTTTTTTTTTCAAAGTTTTAAACGAAGTATTTTATCCTACATTACGATGAGCGATGCATTACGTGTTGATGCATATGCGTGTCTCCTATCACATATCAATCTAAACGTACACGAATACGTTGCTTGAACTTAATGAATTTAAAGTTGATTTCAGCTTTAGTAAACTGAACTTCTGGATGATCCCCAAGCTCTTATTAAGCTTAGAGTTTTATTCAGTTTCGATATCCATTGTAATCCCTCTTCTTTCGAGTCAGCTAATAACTTGTGGCTGCAAACACAAGGTTAGGAAAAAGTGTATTCTAGCTCAAACATATCCTGTACTAACGACAGAACCGAAAGGCAAAGATACGTACCTTGTTGTAGTTTTCTTTCCATCTGTCTTCGTAATAAGATTATCAGTGTCTCCAGGTTGCGCCTGTCTCGATATCTCAACTAAAAATGTGTAGGGACGAGCACATTTTTCCATGTTTATAAATCGCACCTGCTTTGTAGTTGCATCTGTAATCGCGATACCATAGAGATTAAATCAATAATAATCGGCATAGAAATGTGTAGAAATTATGACAATTGAAAGGTAAAGTTTTACCCTCCAAGTTGAGACAGCTTATTGGATTCTTCTTGTGCTCGTCCTCGGGATGCACCCAACAGTATAGCTTAGCGTCTTTAAGCCAGCACCATCTTCGGCGCCAAGCACCCAAGTTTGTAATATCTTCGTAGAGAGTCAAAAATCCGCGATATTCCACCGATACAGAGAGCTTACGCGATATACGCATTCGCAGGTGTCCTTCCAGAGGAGAATGCGACGAGGCCTAAACGAAAAATGCACATTATACACGCGAGATATAATTATATGCACGTTAGCATTGCGAATCTTCGTCATACTAGAGAATTAATACGTACTTCTAGCAGAGTAAATTGTTCGCGATTTATGTCACCCAGAGTAACAGTTGCAGTTCCAGATAATTCGAAAGCAGGTGATCTGATTGCATTTGGACCTGCTGGGCTTTGTATATCCGGCATTACAAACTGATTCTTTTTCTTTGGTGTCTTATTGACAGACTGCAAATGGATTCTAACATTAAATCTGATCTAGTATTGCGTATTTTTGTAGGATACTTTATATTCTTTTAGGCTCTAAAAAGGCTGAGAGAACTTTGCTTCTAAACTTACTTTCGCGGTATGACTGATATGATATTTCTTTTCATGTGGCAAATATTTCGGTTGCGTCTGGAAGGTATATACTTCAACAACAATCTCGAAATCACTGTGTAAATTATCAAGTTTCAACATTGAAGTAAAGCGAATACAAGAATCGCCTGGTTCAGCAGTCGCTGCTTGGGTGGCGACCACGTCTCCTAAGTAATACATCAAGCAGACGCAATGGAGATACGTGTCTGCAACAATTTGCAAGATTATTTTAATACAATTTTGTAAGAACAAGTAACATAGAACTTGACGTTACACTTACTCATGCCCATGCTTCGGAAATATTCTTGTTTCAGTGGTAATGTAATAGCAGAAATGGTTAATGACCCATTCCCCTCCACTTCCGGTGAGCCTGCCTTAACAGGTATCAGCGTGCCTTCTCGTTTGAGTCTTTGCACTTCATTCAATGCAGCTTGGCGTTTATGAGCTGAGCAGAAAAAGGAGTTTTATTAACATTTAAATTTTGTGCACATTAACATGAATACTCAATTTTAATATCTGGCTTATGTGCAAAACGCATGTAATATAAAAATAAATATTACTAGCAACGAGCAGAGCCCATTCGCCTCCGACGTGCTCACTGGAGCCGTTGAATTCGACAGTAGAATGGCATAAATTTAATGCTTTGCTGGCCTCTTCTATCTTCTTCTGTTGTGTTCCAACTTCGTCCAATAACTTCTTCACTTTATTCTCCACCAATACAGATTCGTCCTCGCGTTTCTTCGCATATCTCTCGGAAACTGAATTCGATCCCATTTCGTATCTCGCAACTGGATTATTTTTAGCCAACTGAAATTATAATAACGTTATGGTTCTTGTCCGTAGCAATTAAGATACTGAACAACTCACTTGAGATTGTTGCCGTCTGTATGCACTAACAGTGCGTACTAATGGTACGCGCTTGCCACCGTCCTCTAGTTTATGTGAATCTTTCAAAGGCGACCGATATCTGCGAAATTAAGAATAGTTTCTAGAAAGTTAAGAGAAAAATATTTAAAAAAAAAACGAACGTACGATTGACAGTATTTGGAATTGTCCCTCGTCGACAGATATTCGCCACCTTTATTTACTTTAGGCGGTGTTGGACCTTCCTCTCTCACTTCGCCCAATTCTTCATCAAGACACTCGTCCAAATATTGTTCCATTTCATCGAGTACTGAAATGTCTGATGTAGTGCTATCTGGATCTGGTTCTATGCATCTCTGCAAATGCAATGTTAGAAGAAAACAAATGTATCTAACGTGTATTTAACAATCTATAATATCACAATGCTATTATTGTATACCTTTTTGTTGAACAACGAGCGTTCATCGAATTCCTGCAAGATACTGCGTCCAAAACTCGTCCGTCCAAAAGATGAATTTTGTACGCTTTCCTGATCACTTTCAGTTTCCTGGTCAGTTTCATCATGCTGCAAAAAGTTGAAACCAATGTGAAAATTGAAGAATACATTACTTCTTTACATACACACGTGTACACATATATACATATTTTTAGTTGTAATTATTTATTTTACTCGAATATAATAGTCATCTTCAGAGGCCGTCTCGGTTTCCGTTTCAGTTTTCTCATCGAGTGTAGCTGTTACAGGTTCGGTACTGTCAACAGTGTATTCTGAGTCGCTGTCGCTTTCTGTATTTTCAATCTCGGACAGATTCGGATACAGGGCTCCTGGTTTCGGAGGGCACACGCGGATACGCTTGATGTCGGATGTTGCATTTAAATGTGGGACCTTGGGTGGGCTTCCAGCAACTAATGAAAGAGAAAAAAATTTGTCGCTGTATTATAACAGAAGAACCGTGGAAAACAAATGTCCTGTTTTTATGTACCTTGTCTTTTCACAGGAGAAGATTTACTGTGATACGATATAATCTCTGGATGCGGTAAGGGAGGCGGTGGAGGCGGAGCAATATGGTCCTACAGTCAATAAATAAAATATATAATGTCATTATGTCATGACAAAGTTTGCGCTGTTCTTCTAAGCACAAAGTAACTTGATCTTACAGGAGCGGGAGTCGGTTTCACCTGGCAAACAGGCGAATTCTTCGGCGACGATGGTTTGCCACCTCCTTCGCTGCTTTCGCTTGTCCGGACACAAGATCCAGCGGCAGTGCGGGCAACCTCCTTATTAGCATTAAATCGCGAACGTAACATGCTTAATTCACGCTGTCTCTCGGCGTGCGTAGCTTGTAAAATACGATTTTCCATTTCTTCTACTCTGTTTCTATTGTTGCCTTGTTCGAACATCGCACGTTGTTCGAAAACCGTTTTGCTCGGGCCGTCAGCGTTTCGACTGTTCATCGGAGATAAATCTGGATATGGTGAAATATTATTACTATATTGTTAGAGAAATTATATATAGAACGAATATTTTTACAATTACAAATTGTACGAACCTGCATTAGATTGCTTATCCTTTTCCTGCAGCTTCTTAGGCGGTATCGACATTGTAAGCGGCGCTTTGGGTATCAACGCTTCCCCTTTATTTCGCTCGAATAACGCCATTCTTTCGGCGAGCGTCATCTGAGCAGGATCTTTCGCCTTTGACTCTGTGTTTTTAGCTTCAAACATCGATGCTTTACTCAATACCGAACCTGACGGTTGAATCAAAGTCTTTGGCGAGCCGCTAAATAATGTTCTCGACGGTAATCGAGAACTGCTAGTAGTATTCGCGCTTTTAACAAACTTTTCGGGAGTGCTAGAAACTTTACTGTCGTTGGTTCTAGAAGAGTTAGACGGACTCGCGGTCACGTTAACATCACCATCTGCTTTCTTGCTTCTTGGTGAACCGTCGGACCTACCAGGCGAAATTCGTTTCTTTTCCATCTGCTGACGAGCAGAGCTCGTGAACTTGTTAGGTGATAAATGACTTGTGACGCCGTTCGATTCCTGGGAACAATGCTTATAGTCATACACAAGACGAGAATTGCTTTTTGTACGACTAAAGCCTTGAGCTTCCTGTAAATATTTTTTACTATCCAAATATAATTGTTCAATCGTTACTTCCTTTCTTCCAGAGACATACAAGAGGACAAATAATGAAAAGATAGCGATAAGAAAAACTCGTATCATATCTAAGCATCTTTACAACTATGTAGTACAACGTGTAAAGTCTTATGAAGCTTTAGTCTTTTATTCGTTTTAAGAATAAAATCAGCATATATTTTACCAAATTTTCTAACGTGGTCTTGTCCCATTTTAGTTGTTTAACTGGACTTGGATCTTTGCTTCTTCTCCCATTGTTGATGGTAACCCATTTCTTACTTTCACTCGTGCTTGGCTGCGACTCCAATCCACTTTTAACCTGCTCGTTAAATTTTGCTTGTATCTTTTCGGCTTTACTGGTTTCCGCCTTAATCTACAACGTAATCGTGCATTATAATCGGATTTGCAGATCAAATAATGCGTCATTTTGTGAACAAGGACTTTAAGTGTCAGGAAATACCTTTGAACTAGGATGAGATAAATCATCCTCCCAACTGTTAATATTCGAGGCCAAAGCCACAAATCTGTTGAGTCTAGCACCCTTCTTGATTGATTTGCACTCCGCATTACTCTCTTCCGCGCTAAATTTCTCCTCAGTCCTGTGTATGGGTGAACTCAAACCGAGATTGTTATCCTCTGTAAAAGAAGTTACATATTAATTCTCTCTTCCGTGGATACTTAAAATAACTGACTTATTCAATATAAGCTCGAATACACGTTCTTTAAAAAACTTTCTAGTATTTATATTCAGTCTAATATTTTCAACACAATAGTAAAAGTCTTCTCATACAAGTTACATAGTCCCTTAAAAGAACTAGTAACCCTAAAACGTAGTACATTCAAGCCTATCACACAATGTCAGGCAACAGGCAACAGGAACAGGGAATAGAATTTCTGACGCGTTGGATTGGTTGGAAGAAAATTTTCGACGAATCCAACGCGTCAAAAATTCTATTCCCTGTTCCTATTGCCTGTTGCCTGGCATTGTGTGATAGGCTTCATGCACACTATACACATACATTCTGCATGTGTTAGGCATAAACATACTCATGTGTCAGTGTTAGAAACAAGTTTTGAGGCAACCGGCGTGGGGGAGATACTCCCACACGGGTCGTGTGGGAGTATCCAAGCGGAGAGATTCAGAGTGATATTCAATGAGCCCGGTCTGCCACTTCACCGAGAGAGCCGGGGCTTTAACTCAACACTCAATACAACGTCCAGTACTCCCGGCTTATTTTTAAATACCGCTTACCAGAATATAATTTTCCAAGTCTCTGCAACTTGGCTCGCGCGTTACTAGTTTCACATTTCCCGTTCTCCTTATTGTCCTGTTCGTTGTTAACAGCGACGTTCTTGGACACGGGAGACTTGCGAGGGGACTTGGCAGGGAGTGCGCTGACTGCGGCCGCTTTGACCGGCGACTTGGCTAGATTCTCGCTGGCTGCTGCTGGATGAAATGTTTCTTTTAATAAAACAAAGGAGCCAAAAGCTACGCATTTTGTTCTCGCAATTTATCTTAATATGCTTCTAACTGTAACTGTGTTAACGTATCACAATCATAAAGTAAATTTGTCTGAAAGCTGCATTACCTGTAGCTTGTTCTAGCAAGGCGTTCGCGTTTCTCAAAGGGCTCGGTCTTCTCTGAACGTCGTGTCCTGCGTTGGTCAGTTTCTCGTCCAACTTTTCCCTCCTTACTTTAGCTCGTTCCAACATACGCTGTTTGCCAATACAAAGTGTAATGCAGCAAAAGTTAACAACTAGTAACTTATATCACTACATAAATTATGACATAAATATAACAAATGAGTTATGTATGCATTATAATATAAATTGTTAATTTACATAATTATATTAATATTTTTAACAGGCTTGTTTGTGCCAGGACTCCCGATCGTCAGTCGCCGAAGCTAAATCCGCCTAGTCCAGCACCCCTCGCGCAATCCACATTATCACGAGACACCGCGATGGCATCGCGCAAAAGGCAACGTTAAAAGATTACAGATCCAACGAGAACGGCCTCAAGAAATTCAACGATCTCGTCGTCTCTCCCTCAAAAGCGATACGAGAGGCCTTCCCATTCCGGAGGCAGACAAACGACAATGGTGACACGAAACGGCCGGGGTACGGGAGATCACAAATACAGCCCGTGAGTCGCACGGTACGTGCCAGTGTGTATACGCCGTACAACGCGGGGCCAGGCGTCTCCACGGGGGACGAGGCTGAAAGAAAACAAAAAGGTGCCCCTTACCTGGACGAAGGACTCCATTGTTCCTGGCGCGCCCGACGGATCTCCAACTCACGCTTCGGATTCCGGAGAGCACGAGCTCGCACCACCGGGAGAACACCACCCTTTGGCAAGGACACCGAACGAATGCGCGGAACGACCCTCGGTGACTTTCTGCAACGCAACGGGAGTATCCTTTACTTCCGACCGTTAAATTTGAACGCGGGCGCCATACTGACGGGGAGTGGGGAGGGCGACGAGGGGAGGAGGCAACCGCGACCGCGAGAGGGGGGGGTGGGAG